AGACTCCTTTCACTGTACCATCCTAGAAGAGTTAACCCTGTTTAATCCTTAAGCTGGTGTGCCTTGTATGTATGTAGTAGTACAATTTAAATCTTTATTTTAACATTTAGAAAAATCTGTAAGGTGGTCAAACCTGAGGAAAGCTATAGAGCTGACTTCTCATAAAGCCATGGCTCAGAAAATAATCTATGTCCCTAAAGCTGGAACTATAATAGCTCCAGTGTGTAATCAAAACAATTTTAGATTTTAATTTTATTCTGATTTGTCCATTTGCAGCATTAAAGAGTTGACAGTAGCAGAATATTTGTGGCTTTGCTTCTGCCCCCAGAGGGAAAGGTTGTCATCAAGGGGTAGGTACAGTCTTGTTAGGAATCTGTGCTTGGAAACAGCAGCCATGTTTTAAACTAGAGGCTGTTTTGTGAAGTCAGTTGGCTCTCTTAAGATTGTTTCTGGGGTCACTGTGTTCTTCCTTAAGCCCTTAGACCTTGGTGCAAAATGACTCAGATGCTTGCCCTTTTTAACTTTGCAAAAAAACAGATAAGTCTTAAAGATGTCTGCTTCTTAGATACTTGGTCAAATGAGTTTTTATTCCTTGAGGGTAGTAACCTGACAATTATTGGCCATAGATGAGCCATTAAATCAATTTATCTCCAAAAGAGAACTTTAAATGTTAAATTAATGCTTCTTTGGCTGTTTGAACCCAGTGTATTTTCAGTGATCTTTCTAGACTCTCTCTCCCCTCTCTGGGATTCAGAAAGAGATATTTGCCTGTAAATATTAACAAATTTGTGTCTCATCTTAAAAGTCAAAAAGGAAGTGGTTTTAGAGATCATCTTAAAGCCACCTATTAGTGGCCTGAGGGAGGGGAATCCTTGTGAAGCAATTCCATTTCCTGTTCCTGAACTTCAGGCAAGCTGAGTCTGCACACGCACGCACGCACACACACACAAAAAAACTGGCCCCCACTTGAGACCCATAAGTAGAGCAGAGTATGGGGACAGAGGCCTTCGAGAAAAAAATGAGGACATGTGTGGTGACTCTGCTGAAGATAAGAGGGAGACTAGACAAGAACATCTCAGTCAGGATTCTAGGCATCATATAATCTTTGAAAGTACAATAATATAGGAGAGAAACTCAAAGCCATGAAAAGGAGGAGGAAGCAAATATATTCAGTACTAACCACAGAGACTACTGTAGTTAGTTACTGTGATAAACATGAAATTTGGCTCTGAACTTCCTGGCAACCAGGACAAAGAGGAGAATGTCACGGATCACATAATTCTCATCTAATAGAAGTATGTCAGTTCTTTCCTTGGAGTTAATTACTAAAGGAATATAACCTGATTCTTAGACATAAGAGGCATTTGGTGGTGTGGTGAGTACAGTCTTCCTGGACAGTCTCATGCAGTAGGTGCCGAATGACCTTCGTGTTTTCGTGGATAAAAACTAAGGGTGTGAATGTCGTGCAGAGAAGGGTAATCCGCAGGGAGCTAACGGTTGCCGAGTCGTGTGTTTTCTGGTGTAGAATAGAATAGCAGGCTAGAACTGAAAATACTCAGACAATTGGGTGGCTATCAGGCTGCAGTCATTGAGTGGAGAAAAGACCATTTCACGACTGGGGTGGCATTCCCGACTTCATCCGTGGGTTGTGGCTGTGTGGACTTCCATCTGGCACTCAGAGTAGCTTCAGCGATGGAAGCAAGGGTAGGGACTGTGCCTTAGGATTTTTTTTTCCCCATCTAAGTTGCCCAGAAGGTGGCTCTGGGTGGATGTGGGATGATGAGGAAACCTTATGTGTCAACTGACCCTGGAGTCACCTGAATTATGAGCACAGGAAGGATAGAAAAAGGCCCAAAATAATATTCACAAAAAGGACAGTTCTAAGTGAAGATCACTGTTAAGCTCGATTGAGCTATATACAGAGTTTTTCATGATGGTTGTTCCTTGCTAAAATCTTCAGTCACAAAAGGATTTGCAAGGAAATGCCAATTGCCTCTTTCAAAAATGAACATATAGAAGCTTGAAGAGCTCTCCCATGGGGAATCTGAGCCTGTGACTTTCACAATTAAAGCAGTTTGAGGGCAGGTAAAACAATGTGCCAGGCTCCCTTACCCCACAAGGAGAAACTGTAACTAAATAAGAGGAAAAGACAACCCTCAGAATGGGAGAAAATATTTGCAAACGAAGCAACTGACAAAGGATTAATCTCCAGAATTTACAAGCAGCTCATGCAGCTCAATATCAAAAAAATCAAACAACCCAATCCAAAAATGGGCAGAAGACCTAAATAGACATTTCTCCAAAGAAGACATACAGATTGCCAACAAACACATGAAAGGATGCTCAACATCACGAATCATTAGAGAAATGCAAATCAAAACTACAATGAGGTATCACCTCACACCAGTCAGAATGGCCATCATCAAAAGGTCTACAAACAAATGCTGGAGAGGGTGTGGAGAAAAGGGAACCCTCTTGCACTGTTGGTGGGAATGTAAATGGATACAGCCACTATGGAGAACAGCATGGAGGTTCCTTAAAAAGCTACAAATAGAACTACCATACGGCCCAGCAATCCCACTACTGGTCATGTACCCTGAGAAAACCGTAATTCAAAGAGTCATGTACCACAATGTTCATTGCAGCTCTATTTACAATAGCCAGGACATGGAAGCAACCTAAGTGTCCATCAACAGATGAATGGATAAAGAAAGATGTGGCACATATATACAATGGAATATTACTCAGCCATAAAAAGAAACGAAATTGGGTCATTCGTAGAGATGTGGAGGGACCTAGAGTCTGTCATACAGAGTGAAGTAAGTCAGAAAGAGAAAAACAAATATCGTATATTAACGCATGTATGTGGAATCTAGAAAAATGTTACAGATGAACCTATTTGCAGGGCAGGAATAGAAAGGCAGACGTAGAGAACAGATGTGTGGACATGGTGGCGGGGGAGGGTGAACTGGGCGATTAGGTTTGACATAAATACACTACCATGTGTAAAACAGATAGCTAGTGGGAACCTGCGGCTCAGCTCGGTGCTCTGTGATGGCCTAATTGGGTGGGATGTGGGAAAGGGGAGGGGGATGTGTGTATACATATAGCTGATTCACTTCACTGTGTGGCAGAAACTGACACCACTGTAAAGCAAGTGTAGTCCAATAAAAATAAATAAGTAAAAAAATAAAATTCAGAAACATAATCCTAGGAAAAGTGAGTCTTGCACTAAACAGGAAAGTCAAAACCTTTACCAACCAATTTGCCTCTTACATGCCTTTATATTCATAGAGGCCAAGAGATTCTCTTCAGCCATGAAGGCACAGTGCCCTCTAGTCAAACCTGCCTCAAAAGGCAAAATAGACTTTGTGTGAATTGTATGTACTGCTTTTACATTTTTGTTTGGTCAAAAGACTATTTCTGCCAGGTGCCATCTGGGGCATGAGGAGGACAACTGAACAAGACGCAGCCCCTGCCCTCAGGAAGCTTGGCCGCCAGCATTCAGGCACTTGCATTTCCAGGGTGGCGGGCACTACAGGTGCCTAAGTGTGGGTGTGTCAGGAGCATAGCGGCAGGGCGCCTGACTCGGCTCGGAGCTCATAAAGGACTTTCCAGAAGAAATAACACTCAGCCAAGCAATAGGGAAAGTGGGGAGGGGGACGAGGGCATGGAACGTCCAGGCGGAGGGAGTAGGAAGACAAAGGCTGGCCCTTTCTGGAACTGAAAGTAGTTCGGCGGGGCCAGTCCATGGAAGGGAAGAGACAGAAAGGTAAGCGTGGGCCAGCTCATGAGGCAGGGATCTGACATTTATGCTCAGGAGGGTACATTTTATCCCAAGGCCAAGAAGGAGCTCCTGAAGGGCTTGGAGTGGAGGAGTGATGGAATGGGATTTGCATTTCCAAAAGACTGTTCTAGTGGCAGGGTTTAGTAGGATTGGAAAGCAGCAAAACTGGAGGCAGGGCACCCAAATTGCTACTACAGCAAACCAGACACAAGAGGGAGGAATAGGGCAAAGCAAACAATTGAAAGGCTATTTACAAAGCAAACTATGTGGCTAACAGAATGGACATGTTAAATTCTTATATAAAGGGCCGCAAGATATTTACCCCTGACGCATACGAATTAATTACATGTCAGCCATTTGTGAACTGTGTGCCTATGTTGGGTTTTGTTGCGGGCTTGGGGGTGTCCTGTCCTAGGGGAGCAGCAGAAGCAGCAACCCCTTATCAGAATCAACTCCCACAGCATCAGATGCTGGCTTTGCAGTATGTCTGTGCAAACTAGTAGCTTGCAGTTAGAGGTTTCTGATACCTTGAAATGGAACTGAAAGGGGCCTCAGAGGTCCCTGTCCCTTGAATGCGGCATCTTCTCATGGGCCTACAAATTGCCCACAGCCATACGGCTTCTATAGTGGCTCCAGGCTCCATCCCTGGACAGAGTGTGCCATCCCTATGAGTCCCACAAAGGAGAGGGCTTTCCTCAGGACAACTCAGAAGGCCTATGTCAGTGCGAACACAGCCCTCGCGCTCACAGTGGCCATGATTTGCTCTCCTCATGAGCAATCTGAAATTTGAAATGTGGTGTAGTGCACTCTGGATAAGTGCTGAAGCCACCCTGCTGGTCCGAGTCTACCCCAAAATGCATTTCCTAGGAATTAAAATTCAGGCTACAACTAATAACCAGGTTTAAATGAACATTAACCAACATAATCAGTGTTCACTTTTCTGAAGAAAAATAAGTCGGATTGATTCATGAGATTCATAAGAAAAACGTCCAGTTTGTCAGCTTTTATTTGCCAGTGGCTATTTTCCATCCTTTGGATGAACAGAAGTAATATAAGTTATTTACAAAGTTGGTAAATTTAATAATATCTTGCCAAAAATTTGAATCAAGGGCTTTTCCAGTTGTATAATTTTCTATGAACTCATTTGAATGTTGCATTAGTTATTTCTCCTTTTAAGTCTCAGTTTTCTTTTTTTTTTTTTTTTTTTACACAGGCACTGAAGGTCCTGAGAACTGCAGAGTTTGCTCCTTTTGTTGTTTTTATTGCCGCACCAACTATCACTCCAGGTTTGAATGAGGTAAGAATTAATCAGTTTTTCCTCTAATCAGCACTCCCCCCGAGTAAGGATGCATTTGTGTTGTGCATTCCAGAGCAAAGCCCCATCTCATTAAGACAACTAAATGAAGCTCTGCTTTGTTTTCCATGCTGGCCAGTAAGATTTCCAGAGCTTGAGGTCCTCTTTCAGGAGTAGGAATTACACACCACAGCGAGGTGTGATTCTTCTGAGATCAGAATCATTAGGCAAATGTAAGCTTTAGTCTCCAGTGCAGTCCCCGCCCCGGGGGCCTTATCCATGGCCTTGTCCATGGGTCTGCTCCTGCCCTGCGGGGCTGCCAGCCCCTCCTCTCCTGATAGCGACTGTGCTGAGAGCTCTGGGCCAAGAATTGCCTTGCCTGGGGAGAACTAGAAGGCATCCACCTCCTTGGCTGGGCTGCCCAGACTCCCCTAGGCAGCCTCCGGAGTGGAACCCGTGCAGAATCTCTACCCAGGCCCCTGGAGACTACCAAACCTGGAAATGAGCTCTGTCCCCTCTCAGGCCTACTCAAGTCAGCAGCCGCCACGGAGATGGTGCCCGCGAGGGTCGGCAGCACCATCTAGAACCAGGCTGGCTTACACAGCCTTCTATTGCTGGGCAGATAAGAAGGTAGTTATGGAGTGTCTGGTGAGTATATTGCTGCTTATCTGCTGTAGGGTCATTCTTAAGAGGAAACTCTACACGAAGTTTTCCTGAAGGCCATCACTTCTGCAGGGTCTAGAAATCACCAGGACGCTCTTGGCACTGTTCAGTTAACGTGGCCTAGACTCACCCCAGCTTATGACAGTAAAATCAAGGCTTGGAGATTTTCACTTTAAGGAAAATTAAATATCTAGATTTAAGGAAGATTAAAGAACTAGATTCCTATGTCACTCATATTTTTCAGTCATTTTTTGTCATTTCATTTGCAAAAGATGTATTCCTTGGTAAATTCTACTTCTCCGTCTTATTTAATACACAAACATGTTTGAAACGCCACATTGTGGTTAGCTCTTATCCTTTGGTTACCATGTATTTTTCTTGAATTATCATCTTTGTTTTTGTTTTTGCCTATTTTCCTGCCCTTTTACTAATTTTCCATAGCTGCCAAAATGGTGCAGAAAATTGCCTGTAAGTACCAGCTAGGAGGTGATGAAACACAGCCTCGTCTCCTTTCATAGATTTAGAATGTAGACATTTTGTTCCCACAAATCCTTGCTTTTGCTGTTAGAATAAAGGCATTTTGTTTTCACTGAGTTAAACCCTGCTCACGTGTAAGTCAAGCCTGCAGACAAGCTGTTGTAGAGGAAGAAACTGACAAACATGGCTTCATCTTATAAGATCCTTAAGAGGGAGCTTTATTTTTTTGTGTGTGACGAGAACTGCATTAAAAATTTGATGCTCTCAGCCATAAATTTTCTTGAATGTTTTCATCAGCCCAGCTTTCTGAGCAAATTATAAGCTCTGCTAGTGGTTCTTGAAGCCCACCCAGGACTGTATATTCCAATAGAATCCCCTAGCCCGGAGAGTGACGTGGTAGGAATTGCTCCTTCTCATACTGGTAGGAAGCACTCCTGTCTTTGGGTGAATGCATGTTTCCTAAAATGGGGCTTTTGCTTTGTGTTTACTGTAAAGCCACAGTGAAAATACTATGCTTTTTAAGTGCAAGCAGAAAGTGTGTTGATATGACCTTAGAAGGTGATGATTAACTGAGGTCTTATCTACACTGAAGTAGTTAACACCTAACATTCAAAGCATGCCAGGTCCTGCTTTGAAATTCCGGTAGATGACAAAGCAGGTTAGGACACTCTCATTTCAGAGTGTCCTGATAGAAAAGATTGAGTCCCCAGCTTTTCTGGTGTCTGTCATCCCCACTGTGGTGCTGTGATGGAATCGAGTGTTATTATTTCACCTCGAATCCCCTTGCCAGAGGGCTGCACCCACAGGCCGAGGTTCATCAGGAAGAGTCTCTTACGAACAGATGGGCCTCCGAGAAGAGGAGGGCTCCTAAGCCAGCAGTGGGTGCCAACAGCTCCCAAGTCCCTGAAGGCACCGCACCTTTTAGTTTCTCTGGAGATCTGTCTCTGTCATCATGGGCCCCCATTTCCTAGTAGACTTTCTCTGTCTCTTGACTATAGATTTAACACTCATCAAATCGTATAATGGCCAGTATTAGCCAAGTGCTTGTTCTTTCGGTAACATTTATCAAGCACTTACTGTGTATAAGCCACAATGCCAAGTGCTGGGCACAGCAAGGCAAGTTTGAGCTCTAGTTGGGGAGAGAGATACTAATCAAATAAACAGGTATTTAATTGTATCTGTGTGTGTGTGTATATATATATATATATATTTCAGACTCCACCCAACAGCTCAGCTATCTAGTCGGTTACTTTGACTTAATTTGAACTTGCCCATTAAAAGTTCAGCATAACAAGATCTGACCCGTGAAGATGCAGAGGCAGACTTTCTGGTGGCCCTTAAGAGATCCCCATCTTGAAAGAACTGCCATCCTGAGGCTCTTTGTAGTGCGCTGCAGGAGTTGAGGGAAAGCCTTTACTGCCGCGAAGAGTTCAGTAGCTGCTTTTCCTTCAGAGTTGTTTCCATGAGAGATGTAAGTACTTATGAACAGTGATATTTGGCCATTTCCAGTGCAGACCAATGTGAGGGGATTCATCAGATGCCAGCTGCTGTTGTATCTGGGAAATGGCCTTATTTCATCCATTATTTGTAACATCCAAAAAGCTTTGCCTCTGGCATCCACTGCTGTTGAGTGAGGGCCATTATATGTAACTGAATTCCTGGAACATAATGAACCTCTAAGTAGAATAGAGAAAAATACAACTTAATTTGTTGTCCGGAGGCAGGGGCTTCTTGGCGCAAACACAGCTGGGCTCTGGGGCCTGGCGCAAGCAAGTGCAGAGGACCAAGGGAAGGGGATGCAGGGCTCTGACCTCGTCCGTCCTCTGAAGCCCCCCCCACCCCCCGCCAAACAGGAGAGTGGCTTGAGGTGAGGCGGGCCTGGGTCAGAGGAATGAGGACAGAGCGGCTCGACTCTGACAGTCTGTCCCCACTGACCCCAGGGCAGACACTGCTTGGCCGGGCTGGGGTGATGTGTTTGCTGAAGAGTGTCTGTTTCCTCTGGTCCGTCCGGTTTGGCGTGGAGTCCCCTGTTGCATGGTGAGCAGTCGTGGTTGCAAGCCGTAGTTCTGTGACCCTGCCATCCCGGGGACCGTCATCTCCTCTGTCACGAAGCGGGCTTGGCCTCACGCCCAGATGTGGCACATAAAGGTCTGGCCTTGACTGTTTCTGACATTGGGACGGACAGAAATGTGACATGAGAAAAAAATCCGGCTGACTTTTCTCTTCGCTTTTCCCTCCTCCCACACCCATCCCTACCTCCATCCCATCACCATTTAGGATGAATCTCTTCAGCGTCTGCAGAAGGAGTCTGACATCTTACAGAGAACATATGCACACTACTTCGATCTCACAATTATCAACAATGAAATCGATGAGACAATCAGACATCTGGAGGAAGCCGTGGAGCTCGTGTGCACAGCCCCGCAGTGGGTCCCGGTCTCCTGGGTCTATTAGGCCTCTCCCCAGATATCTGCCGCATAACTGGGAGCCACCTCATACATGGAAAAGCCTCTGTTATCGGCCTTGTGTCAGCAGGTCGTGGTCCCTAGAGACTACCTAGTTGTAGTGTGACCTACATTTATAATTATTGTCATGTCCGAATAGATAGGAGGAGAAAAACAATTACACACTAATTTAAAGAGACAGTATCTTTTTTAATCAGTTCTCCTAAACTTTAATAAAATGTATCTTTAAATGTATGTATTATTCAATCCTTTGGAATGTTATATTTTTGGAAATCATAGCTTTTTATTTCCAAGGCCCCTAAAAACTGCACAAAATAGATGCTGCTTTCTATAATCTATTTTAATAATAATAAACAATGATTCTGTTACCTTGACTGGGGTTGGAACACTACATTCTTTTTAGAGTCTGATTTTATGGATTGGAATATCTTTCTTTCCTTTATTTATTTGAAATAATCAGTCTAGTGATTACAAAACTCATAAATTTTTAAAGGCCTTTTTTTTCCTTTTTTTTTTTTAGAACAGTATTTTTTTTAAGTCCTTTATGTAACATCCAGATAATGTGATACTGTCTCTTTGAAGCACCCTGTAAACCTTTTAGAGATTTGAAGTTGGGTCTTGACTCTTAATGCATGTGGACAGTCGCGAGCGTTTATGCTGTCGGTGTGTCTGTGTTGGACAAAACAATCTGTAATCTACAGCAAAGTACATTCCGTTCATGGGGCACACCCAGGGGAATAAGAATAAAATGCTGTTATGACTAAGTTGTAAACCTATGCACATCCCTTGCATTTCGGGCAACTTTATAAAAAACAAACAAAAAGAAACTGATTTTTATTAATAATAATCAATCATGTAGTGAAATGTGTTTGTAATTTTGTCTCAATTTAATTTGTTGTAAGGTGGGAGGGGGAATTGCTGGTTTCACCATTTCAGATCTGTGTTGTCTGAGAGTATTAACGTTTTAATTAAGCAAAGAAATGAGGATTTTTAATATGTATGTAATTGTTTTAAAGCACCCATTTTAAGAGAATATACTGTGCAATGAAGAAACCAGTTTAGGCATTTGCTATAAACTGAATTATTCCAAAAGAATAATCTATAACAGCCCTGTAAATTCCTTTAAAATGATAACTAACAGGACAGTTTGACCAATTTTTTTTAAAATATACTTCCTTTTATGTGTTCAATAATTAAATGCCTTTGGGTCCTTCATTTCATTATAGATTTGTTCAGGTTTACAAGGTGATGATCTTTTAGATTTTATAATCCATTAGATGCTCACTGAAACATCAAAGGCCCAGGAATGACTGACTATCAGTTAGCAGGACAACAAAATACTCTGCACCCAAGGGCCACTAATGTGCACCTGTGCTTTCTCCTTCCTCTTGCTATATCCCTTGGCACAGGAGAATCATGTCCTTGTTGCTTTAGAGACATTAACCATCTCATCACCCTTCCGTGAGGTCACATTCTTCCAATACAGGAGATTCAGGCTGCGGGGGTGGGTCTTCTGACTCTTTGCCAGAGGTCAGTGGAAGGTTTTTCATGAGAGTGTCTGTCAGGGTGTGAAGTGGTTCTATTAACCTGAGATCCTTGAAAAAAATACCATCAAGTTTGCTTCTTGTCGGTTAGATGGCCTCATTGCTTTGTGCCCTGGCAGGATGTGCAGGATGTGTTCTGAGCGGAACAGCTCCTCTATGAAGGACCACACCGAGAAGGCATTTGTATACTCTTTTTAGGGTGTCACCCTCCCCTCCCACCTACTCTTATTAAACAATGCTGATTTTTCCTCTGATGTTGTCCTTTGTGGGTAACCAGATGAGTATACAACTTACAAAGTGCTGAGTAAACTGCTTCTGTTGGGACCCACAGCAGGGTGACCAAACCACCAAACCAGAGACACCGTGGATGGAGGGAGAAACCCCAAGAGCTGATTAGGGCTGTGTTAGGACTGATTTAAATCTACCTGATGCCAAGGCCAGGCAGTCATTCCCGTGATGGTACTGGTCACAATCCGGGCTCTTCTCAGTGTGAAACTGCCCGCTCTACCTCTTTTCCAGTGAAGCACAAAGAAGAATACAACTAACACCTGAGAACAGAAGCTCCCTCCCTCTGGTAGAAACCCCACTTGTCCTCTGAGACCAAATCTCCAGAGATGCTCGACGATGCCTGTCTTAAGCCACCCACCATGCTGATGAAGGTGGGTCATGCAGAGGAAGAGAAAAGCAATGCCAGTGTAAATGTCTGGTCCCAGGATTGAGAAGCACTGTAGCGCTCATCCTCTCTCCTCCAACACTTTATGCGTCCTCAGAGAAGCACACAGACAGGCGGCATTCTCACCACTGTGCGGGTGGCAAAATTCCTGCACCCAGAACTCATTCTGTCTAACTTCTCAGAGGTCGTCTGTTCCCTTCCACTAATACACGTCTTCTCTCAAGCAGTGTCTTTTTGACCTAGCAGAAAATACTTAAATTTCTGAATCCAGAGTAATTTCGGTACATTGCTCCTGCACCTCCATTACAGTTGTCCACTAAGCAATCAGAAAATTGCTAAAAAGCTGCTTTACTGTTTCCATTCCATCAACAAAATCATTTTTTTTCCTTTAAAAGAACAGAGCGAATGATTAGATTATTAAATCTTAGCACTGATCAACTGAGCCATGTTCTAAGGGCTCTCTTTCCAACCCCATTGCCCGCAGCAAGAAATGGGGTGTTTTTCATATGTCAAATTATCTGTTAAAAAGAATGTCCTGATTTTCTAATCATAAAACGGTTAATTACTTTGCACACGCAGCATGTTCCATTCTAACACTAAAAAGGAAAATGTCAATTTAATTCAGGAAGCTTCCCAGTGTCAAGATAATATGGTAGCTTTTTTAAATGCAATTAAGTGTAACTCCTGTCAAGTGAGATGGTTTAAAATATTTGCTCAGAGAGGAAAAGAAATGGGTGACCTACTTCTTGCAATTTGCATTCAGAAGGCATCTTCTGAGCCCGTCCCATTGGTGGTGGGATGTCAGAAGATGCTGCAAAGCCCTCACCGCACAAAGGGTCAGCACATGCTCCCTTCCCCGGGGCCCATTCCATCTCCCACGGCTGGGGCCAGCCCGCCAGGCCTGGACTCCATGCTACAGTTATTTTTTTAAAGCCTTTGATCTCATTATTGCAGGTGAGGTTTTTTGGTTTGTTTTTAAATCACTTGTAGTTAATCTGTTCGTTAAGGCTTTGAGTTCATTCCTTGAAAAAGTGTAGTCAGTTGAGCCACCCTTGGGGAAACAGAGGTGGAGATGCCCAGCGTGGACACTGCCCCTTAAGGACAGGCAGCCCAAAACAAACGCTCTTGTCTCCCACTGATATCCTTTTCTTCATTTCAGGTCAATCTCTTGGGGCAAAGAGAACATGCCACTAAAGCTAGCAAGAACATTTCTTGATTAATAAATTCTTAATTTTAACACCTCCCACGCTGTCTCCTTGGAAAGAGGAGAAGGCAACTTGCAATCAGCATTCCAAACAAGCCCCTTCTCATCCTCACCCCTCCTGCTTATTTCCTATCATCAAACTGGTGTGTGTGCGTGCGTGCGCGTGTGTGTGTGTGTTGGGGGGGAGGGGCTTGTTTTTCCAGAACTGGACACAGCCTCCTAATCCATCCTCTTTACAAGGGGTTATGATACCAAGGTCCCCGAGCATTCTTTCTCTTGTTCTGTGCCTCTGATTAATTCTCCTCTTAGAAAGCTCTTTTGCTTCTCACTGCAGCTTGCAGAGGGGCTACAAGCTTGACTCATGAATCGTTTCATTTGGTAGAAATTTCCCACTTTTTCCCCCTTTAGAAGTAAGGTCTTCCTCTACATTTGGTGTCTTCAGTTACAGGACATTGCCTGTAAGGCTCAAGGCTTGGTTGGCTTTGCCCACACCCAGTTATCAGTTTGCCTTAAACTTGGAGCTATTGGGAGTCTCAGGTCTTCCAGCTTAGTGAGTGAAGTTTAGGTGTGACATGCGTCCAGGAAGTGGGAGAAAGGGAGAAAAAGAGTATGTTCACCAGTCCACATCCCTTTATCTGGTCTTTTCTCTGCTACTCTTGGGCTGCAGAAGGTGGGCAGACCTGGCCCATAGAAGGAGGAAGGCCGCACCATCTCTAGGCCAGGCATTGCCAAGTCTTATCTCTTCATGGGAGAGGATAGAAAATCCAGAGCTCCCACCACCCCTCACTAACCATCAGCTCTCTTGACCCTGTGCAAATGGACCGAGCAAAAGAAATTGGGAAGAGGTGTTTGGCACAGGAGACCTCGTTTCTGGCCCCAAGCACAATTCGCTATCTATGTATGCGCAGAAACTTGGAGCTTCGCTGCCATTTCTGTGTTCCTTCCCTTCTCTCCCGCACGTGACCAAAGGAACGTGCCAGTGGTCTCGCCAATAGAGCCCTGGGGGTGACCATCTTGGGACCCAGAGGCCATGCAGTCTCTTCAAAGGAGTTCTGCTTGGGGGTAGAAATAGGTGTTCCTCCACAGTGCGTGGCCCCAGCTGTTATTTTCATTTTCAAGAGACCAAGAATTGGAGAAATCGATTTTCGGTCTCTGCTGTGTCCCTGGATGGCGCCCGTGCAGGCGGTGGGAGGCTATGGGGGCAGCAGGCCCCGGGGCTGATGCGAAGGCCACACGATCCTCACGTGTGGAGGCCACAGCATCATGTTTAATTGCCAGGCAGATGCGTCGCCGTTCAAGCTCAGTTCTGGGGTTGTTTTGCATAAAGTTTTGCCAATGTGTTTTTGTTTGTTTTTTTCTGTATGTATAATTGCCTTTTTATAAAAGGTTTTGAAGTATTGTCTCAGTGATAAAAAGAGAGCAATGTTAACGGTTGTTGTATATTTCACCATATCCAATTGTAAGTATTTGAAGGGTACAGCGAAGCCTTAGCGTGCAAGAGCGCTTGTGCAGGAGGTGTCCTCTGACACCCAGGAGGTGAGGGGATCGGCAAGTTTCGGATTCTTTGTAAATGCCCCGCTTTTCTTTCTCTCTGTGTGTATCTATTTACATGCCTTAGCACACGCCCTCCCACCCTGATCCCTTTGCCCTGTTGCCAGATCAACCAGAACGCTGGTGCACTGCCGGTACAGGACAAGTCGACAGAACCCTAATCAGTTATCTCTCGTGTGCCAGGGGAGGAAGAGAAACTCCATAGTATTCTTTGTAGAATATACATACCTGTAGGATGCTGTGTAATGGGAAACCATAGAATTGGGCTTTTGTCATTTCAAAGTTGGAGAAATGTATGAATAAAATGTATAAAACACGAAAAGGTAGTTGTCTCCTCAGATTGCAGGCCAAACAGCTTGGGGACAAACCACCGGAGGATCGCTTCCCGGCTCCAGTGTCCACCCTGGCAGCCCGGGTCGTCAGCCTGGCTGTCCAGATTGCATTCTGAAAGCAGTTCAAGCTCAACTACTTGCATTTGGATGCAGATTTTAAATAGCTTCAGTTTTTAAAAAAAAAAAAATCCAAGTTTGACAGCTCCTGGGAACAGACATCCAAATTGATTTGAGTGGTGTGGGCACCCAGCATGGAAAGGCTGTCCCTTGCTTGACATTTGCATAGAAAGCCTCAGGAGGAAGGCTGCTGCCCTTAGTGTTGGGTGATTGGCTTTGGCCTCTGGTCTGTGGTCTGAGATGTCGCCCCTCGCGTGCCTCAGTGACCTGGTTTCCACACTTCCTTCCCGGCCCTGGGCCCAGGCTCTGCCCAAATACAGAACCATGGTGGCTTCAGAAACCCACAGTTGCATGTGTCCAGTGCCGACACACCCAGAAATACCCCAGCCTGGATGTGCTCGCACGGCTCACCCCATTTTTTTTTCTCTAACTGCTCACTTTAAGAAGACGCATATTAAGGAAACATAAACAGGAGCGATTATTTACTTTAGTCAAGTAAACCTCACCCTATCAAAAATACACAGAAGAGTTTAGGTCACATTCAGACACAAGAAATTGAGCCTCTGGCCTTCTGATTCAGGGAATCCCAAGGCATCTTTCTGCAGGCTTCTTACCCTAGATGTACAGACAACCGAAAGCATAATGCTACCATTAAGCTTATTTTCTGCACTTCAGGGCATTGAAGACACATCCAACATGTCATTGGAAATGACTAGAAACATGTATTTCTATATTTTTCACACTTTACAGTAATATTATAAGCTGAATAAATAACACTTGGTATCATTCCGTGACCTGCTGCAGCAGAGCCTGGGAATCTGCGACAAGAACGCAGTGATATTGGTACAGGGTAGTAGACAGTGACCATGAGTTCAAGGTCACCGAGAGTAGTGACCTTGAGTACCCTGAGAGTACCAAGCCCCCTTAAAGGACACTGCAATAGTGCAGCTAGTAACCCAAGGTAGCGTCTGACTTTCTCCAGGAATGAACACACAGGCCACAGGGCCTGCTGTGAAACCCCATGGTCAAGGCGGTGCCGAGCATCCTGCACCCGCTGGCCTGCTCTCTATGCTCCTCCCCTGTCCTCACATTTCAGTGCGTGGTGCCCAGAAACGGTCTGGCCAGAGACTCATTCTTAGGCTAGATCATTAAACGCTTCAAGCGTCTGCTGTTCCCTCTTCACGTCTCAGGAGAGGAGGAGACAAAGCTCCAGGCCCTCGAGATGTTAAACTGAGGCTGGAGATGGGGAAATAGAGCCCACTCACAGGCTGGTCCCACACAAATCAACAGCTTACCACAGGAATTCCCCTAGAACTTTCTAGGGTGGTGGAAATGTTCTATTTCTTACTTGGGGTGGTGGTTACATGGGTATGT